GCTGCAAGGCCCCTCCCCCTCCTTGGTCTCCAGGTCTCCGCTTTCCACTGGAAGCCCTCCCGGACCAGCTTTGTGGTCCCTCCCCAGCCCAGTCCTTCCAATGGCAGACTTATCACTCTGTATTGTCTGGTGTATTTATTCTGTCTGCTTCCCTCTGAATTGTGGTCTCCTGAGCACAGAATCACATCTTGTTCCCTGACCCAGTCCCAGGAACTCCCGAGGAAGATTCTGGAACTATCTCTTGGGCAAATGAACAAGTGAGTGAATGTGTGAATTCCAAATCTCTCTCCCCATCCCCCCAACACAATGCCCACAACCAAGCTTTTTGCTTCTGCACCTTCTTTCCTGACACCAGTCCCTGGGAGCCCAGCAGATAAATGCTGCTACTGACCAGGAACCTTCCTAGCATGTCGTCTGCCCCCAAGCCTGAGTGACCAGAAGGCACCCACAGGCATATATATGCACTTGCAAGGTGTTAACTGCTCTGATGTGGGGCTGACACCACCTGGGGTTTGACGGGAGCCCAGGTCCCCAGCAGTTTGGTTCCATACCCTGCTCTGTGCTGTCCCAGCAGACACTCAGTAAATATTGAGGCATTAATTAACTTGCTCCAGGGAGCAGTGACTCAGTGGCAGATGTAATCTCCCAGCTCCAGGGGGAAGGTGAGCACCCCAACCTTTCTCAGATGCCTAGACAAATAAGACCAGCCCTTTATCCCAAGAAGGTTTGTCTCACTCACACCTGCCCCCCTCCATGGGGTGCAGATCTGAGGGCCCTTCTCCCCACACGCATGCGCACGCACACACACACACACACACACACACACACAGAGCCCTGAACAGTCTGTGGTACTCTGCCCCAAATCACTATGCACCCAAACAGAAGCCTTGTGTGCAACTCACGCACTCTATACATATTATGAATTCCTACTGTGTGCCCCAAGCCACGCTGCTCCCAGGGGCACCAACTAATTCAGCTGTTCCAGTGCCTCCTTCAGCAAGTGTTTTCATACAACAGCTGCAACAACTCCCCTTCCTAGGCCACCCCAAAAAAGATCAAGGGTTTATATTAAGCTAGACAACTGCTTAGCCCTCCTTACTAGCCCACCTCTGGATTCTTAAGAGGGGAGACCAAGTGAGCAGGGTCCCCCAGATACAAAAGCCCAGAGAAGGGGGCCACTGGAAGGGCTGACCACTTCTCAGCTGGCCCCAGGGAGTGAAAGGGCCTTAACAGAGCTCAAAACTCACCTTTCAGCAGAGGCTGGGCAGGGAGCTGGGTAGCGCCAAGAGAAGTTGCCCAAGTGAGCAGGCTGGCTCCCCTGCCAAACCAGCCTGTGGCTGGCGACTCCACTTCCATCTCTGAGTCCCCAGTGGAGTGTCCGCAGCCATGTTCTCGGGTGCAGCTCCAAGAATGGCTATGAAAGACGGGCTGAGCTGGGACAGATATTTGCTTCTTCATGGGTTTCTACAGGCCCCAGACTCAGAGCAGTTAGCAGGAAAGTGGTGAGGGGTTGATCAAATCAAGGTCACATTCACTGTGAGCTGGGCCCTGAGAACTGACAGAGGAAAATGATTTTGAAGAACCTACAGCAAGCTCCAGTCCTGGAAAGAGACAGACTTGGGTTCAAATCCTGACTCTGCCCCTTTCTGGCCATGTGACCTTGAGCAATCATGTAAACTCTGAGTCTTAGTCTCCCCAGTAAGTATTGGGCAAGGACAGAACGAAGGCCTGAAATGAGCATTAATAATACGTTCTGGAGCTTTGGCCCAGACTTGATTGCTGCAAAACCAAATCCTCACAGCTGTAAAGCTGGATAAGAGCTCCTGATTCCTTCCACATGCTAGTGATGTCTGAAAGGTGAACTTCACACATAAATGAATGAAGCCTCGGTGTGTCTTTAAGACAGGCATCAGGGAAGCAAGGGGCAGTACACTTTTATTCCTACAGGGATTACCACACGAACAAGTTCCACAGCCCTGGGTGTCCCTAACACCAGACCACCAATAGAACGTGAAGTCCCCCTAAAATTTCACTCCTGGCTTCTCTGGGATGGGGCTGGGAGAGGCATAACTGGTGATGGAGGCTAGGACGTTTGAGGTTGTTCGTAGACAGCATGAACAGGACAGAGTACTGGACCTGCAGCCATGTTATCTCAGTCAAGTCTCGGTTCTTTTTTTTTTTTTTTTTTTTTTTTTTTTTTTTTTTTTTTTTTTTC